ACTTTATGGCTATTGTATGACTTTAGATTTTCTTATTGCCTTACTATACATGACGTTTTATTGACTTTAATGCCTTACTATACTATGAATTATGCCTACTGTACTGTTTTTTATGACTATCTTCTAAATATACTTTATGCCTTGCTATCTATGAACTTATGACGTTTTTATGCCTATACGACGTTATCCCGTCACCTATCTATACGTTTATGACCGTTTTATGCCTTACTATACTATGGACGTTTTTTTTGACTTTTTATGCCTTACTATACTATGAAGTTTTTATGACTTTTTATGGCACTATCATCCGTTTTATGCTCACTTACTGATACTTTTATGACGTTTTATGCCTTACTATACTATGACGTTTTTTTGACTTTTAATGCCTTACTATACTATGAGTTTTTTATGCACTTTATACTATGCCTTATACAATGACGTTTTTATGCCTTACTATACTATGACGTTTTTTGGACTTTTTTTATGCCTTAACTATACTATGACGTTTTTTATGCCTTACTATACTATGATAGTTTTTTATGAACTTTTTATGCTTACTATACATGACGTTTTTTAGCCTTTTTATGCTTACTATACTATGACGTTTTTATGACTTACTAGTATTGACTGTTTTATGCCTTACTATACTATGAACGTTGTTTATGGACTTTACCTTACTTACGTTTAAATGAGTTTTTATGGCTTACTATACTATTGACGTTTTAGCGACTTTTTATGCCTTACTATAACTATGAACGTTTTTTTGACTTTATTATGCCTTACTATACTTATGAACTGTTTTTATGCCTTACTATAACTATGCGTTTTTATGCCTTAACTAATACTAATACGTTTTTCTTATATAGTATACTTTTTATGCCTTACTATACTATGACGTATTTTTTTATGCCTTACTATACTATGACGTCTTTTATGACTTTTTATGCCTTACTTAACTGACTTTTTTTATGACTTTTTATGCCTACTGTACTATGACTTATGATTTTTAATGCCTTACTATTACTATGCATGTTTTTATGCCTTACTATACTATGACGTTTTTTAATGACTTTTTATGCCTTAACTATAACTATGGACATTTGTGATTTTTATGCCTTAGTATACTTAATGACGTTTTTATTTTTATGCATTACTATAGACTTATCGCCTTATTATATATGACGTTTTATGCCTTACTATACTATACGTTTATGCACTTTTTAAATGCCCTTACTATAATATGACGTTTTTATGCCTTTTTATGCCTACTATACTAATGAGACATTTGTATTTTATGCCTTACTATACGTAAATGACGTTTTATGGCCTTACATACTACTGAGCACGTTTTTTGATTTTGTATGCCTTACTATACTATGACGTTTTTGACTTTATGCCTTACTATACTATGGTTTTATGCCTTACTATAGTATGACTTTTATGCTTACATATACTATGACGTTTTATGCCTTACTATACTATTGACGTGTTTGGACTTTTTTATGCCTTACTATACTATGACGTTTTTCACTTATGCTTACATAACTATGACGTTTTTAGCTTATATATCTTGCTTTTATTGCCTTACTATACTAGTGACATTTTTTATGACTTTTCATGCCTTAGCTATACTATGACGTTTTATGCCTTACTTTACTTGCATTTTTTTGACTTTTTATGGCCTTACTATAACTATGACGTTTTAAAGCCATTACTATACTAATGCGTATTTACTTATAATGACTTTTTATGCCTTACTATAGTATGAACGTTTTTTATCGCCTTACTATACTATGACGTTTTTATGACTTTTTATGCCTTACTATACTATGACGTTTTTTATGCTTACTATGACTATGAACGTTTTTAATTGAACTTTTTATGCCTTACTATACGTATGCAGTTTTTTGACTTTTTATGCCTTACTATTACTATACTTATTGCTAATTTCTGTTTATGCCTTACTATACTATGACTTTAGCTTACAATATAGTATGACTTTTTATGCACTTACTATACTTTATGACGTTTTTATGCCTTACTATACTATGACATTTTTTATGACTTTAATGCCTTATTAAACATGAACTTTTTTTTTGACTTTTTTTATGCCTTACTTACTATGACTAAGGCATAAAAAAATCATAATATAATAAGGCATAAAAAGAAATAAAAACATCATAGTAAGTATAGTAAGGCATAAAAACGTCATAGTATAGTAAGGCATAAAAAGTCATAAAAAAGTCATACTATAGTAAGGCATAAAAACATAGTATAGTAAGGCATAAAAACTCATGAAAACGTCAAAGTATAGCAAGATATAAATAGTCAGAAATACGTCATAGTATAGTGAGATAAAAAGTCATAAAAAAGTCATAGTATAGTAAGGCATTTAAACAACAGTATAGTGAGGCATAAAAAATCATAAAAATAACATAGTATAGTGAGACATAAAAAGTCTTGAAAATGTCATAGTATAGTAAGACATAAAAATGACATAGTATAGTGAGGCATAAAAACTCATGAAAACGTCAAAGTATAGCAAGGCATAAAAAGTCAGAAATACGTCAAAATATAGTGAGGCATAAAAAGTCGTAAAAATGACAGTATGGTAGAGCATAAAAACTGCATAGTATAGTAATGCTTTAAAAGTCATTAAAATGACATAGTATAGTAAGGCATAAAAAGTCATAAAAACATCATAGTATAGTAATGCGTAAAAATAAAAATGTCAGTATACCTAGGAATAAAAAGTCATAGTATGGTAAGGTATAAAAATTAATTGAATGGCAAGGCAATAGAGTCATCAGTTGACTTATTGTGCATGTCTATGTGAGGAAGACGGCGTACCCACCAATGAACCACGCAGGGGCAGGGAGAACATCCAAAGACCACACAGACAGGCCCCAGGCCTGGGCCTCAAACCCAGAACCTTCTCACTGTGAGGCAATGGTTCTAACCACTGCTCTCCGTGTCGCCCAAAATTATAGTAAGGTAAGGCATAAAAACATCATAGTAGGCATAAGACATAAAAATGTCATAGTAGTCAGGGTGACATTTTCATGGGATTTCTCGACAGAAATTCAACTCATATTTTGATATATCCACTATTTTATGTCTATTCCTGCTAGCAACCTGACTGCTAGCCTACAGAAGACAGATGGCAGGTTTAGCTCGCTAATTAACCCTATCTCACATGGTTAAATAACATCAGTTGACATTCTTCTGGTGACGTTAGGTACCACTGTGATAATCTCACATAATGTGAGGCTTCAGATAGCCCCCACCCTTTCAGTCAATCAAATGCTAGTATGCCTAAATCGGTTGTCTTGGAGACGTAGCCTCTTGGAGGGCACATCGGAATGATCTAATATGACTTCACTCCACACATAGTGTGAATGAGTTCACTCAAATATTGGTAAGGACAATTCTGTCCTCCCAAAATATTGGTAGGGACCTGTCCCTATTGTCCATATGCAAACCTACGCCCTTGCTCTTGGCACTGTTGTCTTACCGTCTTTCTCTTAACACCCGCTCCATCTCTGTTTGTGGTTTCTGAGTTCATGTCTCAGTTAAGTTTGGCTTCTCTCTTCCCCTCTCCCCCACATGAATTTGGAAAAGTGTGGTAATGCTGGTATTCCTATTTTGTTTTCCTGTCTGTGGGTTGTGGTTGGCTGGGACATGTGGCATGGGAGCATGTGGTTGGTCTTTTCATGTCAAACTGTCTCACTGAGTGCGAGGAATTACTCACACACGGTTTATTAAAGATAATTCAGAGAAGTGTGTGTATTTACTCTCCACATAGTCTGTGCCAAAGTGAAATCACTTTTTAGATGAGTTTGTCCACTGTAAATGGTCTGCAATATCGATAGTTAGTCAGCACAGTTTTAGGGATTTATGAAGTCTGGTTAATGTCCTCTACCCCTGGAGTTGAATTCTGCATTACATCCTTCATTCTGTGGTGCATCCATTTCAGGTCAGAGTTTAAGAACAAAAACACCAACCAGTACTCTACATCTGAAGTGATTTTGATAAATTGCTTAAGTCATTTTTAAGCAACGTTGCAGGTACTATCTTATCAAATATGAAAATTTTCCCAGCTTTCTACGATAGTAAACTCACAAATTTGAGGTTTAAAACTGTGGGTCAGACAAAAACAAAAAGATTTGAACACATTAACTTGAGCTTCAGCAATTAATGACCCAATTTTTCACTTTTTTTCCTGATATCTAATACACCAAACAATCAATCGATCATTTGAGAAAATAACTGTCAGGTGTATTAATAATGAAAGCATTTGTTTTTGTGGCCATACAGGTGCTTCTATAAGATGGAGGACTGGGCATAGTTGATACATCAAGTTGCAGAAATTCCTAACAAACGTGCAGTTAATTAAATTGTGTATACAAATTATATGACGTAAGCCTGGAGCTGTTGGAGGTCCTGGGGGCAGTTGCCCAGGGGTCCCAGTAATCCAAGTAATCCCAGTAATCCCATCTCTGTACACTAATTTAGCTTGGTTAGTCTGGCTCTGTGCACCTACCAGCACTACTAAAGCTCACTAATTGACCAGGTGCATGTTGTTCATTTAACCTGTACACTGAACACTGAGGTATAAAAACAAACTGCTTTTTTAGTCAGAGTTCTGTATTGGACTATTTCTTGGTACATAAACTGGAGTCTCTTCTTGTTGCCTGGCAACTGGTACTGACCAAGGAATAGTTCAGACCCTGTAAAAAAGCAAATTGTAGTTTTTATACTTTTGTATGGATTAAACAAAGAAACAACAAATTATTAAATTTCAGAATTGCTGCTGGTGGATTTTATTGACAGAGCCAGACTAGTTGTTTACCAAATTTTACCCAACAAATGTGACAGTGCATATCAATCATCTTATCTAAATATTAGCAAGACAGCGAATAAGTGTATTTACCAAAATATTAAACCTTTAATTTGCCATAAAAGGCACTGAAGTCAAATGGAAATGAATATCAGTAAATATAAAAACAAGATTTATTGCTGGAAACATACATGATGCATCAAAAACAACTGCAGTCATGACAGATGTGGAAAAACCACTTTGAAGTAAGTTTGAACACAAAAACATAAATTATGTAATTTGCTAATGTCATTTCCACATTGAAGCTCAGTTTATTTATTTCTATTTTTACACACACACACACGCACACGCACACACGCACACACACACACACACAAACACACACATATTTTATTCTTTTATCAAATATAGGACTGCACGGGCATGAAAAATACAAAATTCTTTTTTTTCTATGTGACCCCATAGAAACTCTGGGCTCAAACTTGGGTTTTCTTACAATAGATCAACAATTTGGCTTAAACTGTTTTATCTTTTACCTGTAATGTATCAAACTATCTGTGATCACTGGTATATATACTGTATTTCACACCATATACATATATGAATAAAAGTTTAATACTGTGCAAACTGCAACGGCTAATAATCCCTTAGGGCCAGCAAAAATCGACTCTGCATGTCTGTGTGTACTTGTAATTTACATAGTCAAAATGTACAATGAAAGTATGATTGGCATCTTTCTGTATACAAATGAGCAATGTGCGTGCTCACTGACATGCCAGTACTGGGAACAATTTTTACTTATTTCAAAAGCCTGAGCACACAGAATATTCAATAACAAACCCTTGATAAATAATATCATACACGTCATTACACTTTGGGAGCCAGCTTCCCAACATTTTCTCTGTAATTACTGAATATTCAACACTTTGGTTCACTTAAACTCCTGCATTCTTTTCTCTGTCGTGATATTTTTGATAAATAGAGAAATTGAGACCAATGTTACAAATGCACTCAATAGAGTTTTGTGACACCTAATAGTCCTAGAGGTTCACACGTGAGAGAGTAAGCCGAGTTCAAACAGACAGACCCATCTACAGTGTCCATGGTAACATGAAAGAAAGGCCCACCTCCCTTCAGGGCTAGATAGGCATCTTCTTCTTCCTCACCACCTAAGAAGTCATCCTCCTGGACAGCTCTGTGGGGTCTTACCACTTTCCAGGTATGGGTGTGCCACATTCATACCAGCCTACATAGGTAACATGTGACTTTCCCCCAATCTCTCCAAAGCTGACAGGTTCCTGTCTCATTGCTCTGTAGAATCCTGGTACAAAGACAGAAAGGATTGCATATAAAACTGCATCATCAGCATAAAAATGAACATTACAATTTGGAGGGGCAGCAATAATATTTTTTTATGTATATGATGAATAAAATACAACCATGAATAGATCCTTGTGGAACACCTTTAGTAACTTCAAGAGCACTTTATTTGGCACCATTTGAAACTACTACCTGGGTTTTCTCAAAGAAATAGTCAGAAAACCATTTAATGGGCTCATTTTTCTAGTAAAATATTATAATCAGCTGAATTAAATGCTTTACATAGGTCTATGAAAAGTGTTTTTGTTTTTGTCTCTAGAAACAATCACAGTGTACACAATGAAAGACACTGATTGTGTTATTGACCAATGCAAACCAAAATACCTAGCTTGCTTGGTAGCTCATCAGCAAACATCTGGTTGCCAGTCCGCCCATCCAGGAAGGAGTCTACAAACTGACAATGGTCCTCACCATGCCCCGTTTGATCTCCAATGTTGTAGAACTTCCCTACAGAGATGGAAGAGGCAGCTTTAAGTATTTGGCTGTTGAAAAAATCATGTCACATCACTGATCTTCTAGCATTGATTTTAGCAATTACCATCAAGGCAACATACATCAAAAAATGTAATGTTCCATGTCAAGTGTGAAACATCTGCTGAAGAGATTGTATGATACAGCTGAAAGTAGGCTATCTACTAAATGGGTCTTTTGTTGAAACTGTTTTATCACATTCTTCACTAAATGTTCCTCACTGGGTTAGGTCAATTTGAACCCTTCAGGCACATAAAACCTTCTGGATACTGATGCCAAAAATGCACTATTACATAACTAAAACAAGAAAGTTCCAGCATTGATGACATTGATGTAATGTCTTCCAAAGTGATTTGTATGTGGCCCTTGAGGACCTTAAGCAGCTGGTTGCTGCGCTCACGTTTCGGTGTGATTACCATTGAGCGAGTCACTCAGGTAGATCTTGTATCTGAGGGAGTTGCAGAGCTGGATCCCAACAAACTTTCGGTACCAGGTTCTCTTCACATACTGCTTTCCACTGCATTCAGAGTAGGCATCTGCTTTAAAGGGGAACTGAGTCCAAATGGCATCTTTGCCTGTGATTAAATCATTAGAGGGTAAGGTTTAATAAGGTTCAACATTTAAAACAGTTCAACATTAGTGGAAAATATCAATAATATTTTTAAAAAGAGGACAATATTTACCTGAAACATGTTCACTCACTCGTGGATCCGCTAGAGATGTGAGAGAAAGTTACAATCAGAGCAACTTAGCACTTAGACATAGTCATGAGATATCGTGACTCATTGTGCTGGACAAACCTAGACCTACAATGTTGAGATCCAAAAGGCAGGGCTTTGATTGCATGAGGACAAGAGGCCAATTAAGCAAAGCTTTCCGCTCTCTGTGTTGTTTTTGTCAGTTTAAAAACACTTAATCAACTGCTTTACGACTGGTGCAAATTTGACTTTGTTCATAGCGCTCTGATCACCAGGTGGATGATTTATGTCTGTTACAAATGAGCCTCAGAGGACATCTGTTGAGCTGACAAGACCCTAGAGTCTTAATCAGTCACACCTCAGTGCCATGTTGAAATCATTAGACTAACAACTGCCTAACAGCCCACCCTCTGAGATTCAAAGCAATGCTAATTGCTGCCTCATAATTAGCAACATGTACGGTGGCATTAATGTGCAACTAATCAGTCTCCACTGTCAGAATAAACACTTCAGAGTTATCCGCTAGTGTGACTTTAGTGGATTAGTATTTAAAACTTGCCTGATTCGGTGCTAAAAGACACAGGATCACTGGAGGGCCCTGTTCCCAGCTCATTCTTTGGCGTTACTTTGAATTCATAACTGAAATAGAATACATATTAAGAAAAAGAAAGTTCAGTTACATACACAATAAAGGCAATAAACCAAACTTTTCAATCTGAATTACTCCCAGCTCCAGATCTGGGACGCATATTTTTATTCCTCTGACGGCTAACTATGGGTCACTCATTCTCTTTCTCACACACACACACACACACACACACACACACACAGCTGATGGTTATTCCACGTGCTGCGTTCAGATGTCCTGGCAAAATCTGGGACAGCAAACCCAGCCCAGGGGTGGGTTCTGGTGAATTTTGAGACTCCAGATGCCGAGATCTAATTAAAAACCCAGTGACCCTCTCCACCCATATTTCCTCAGCTTTTGTGTCACTTTGGCCATTTTGATTAACAGCACGAGCTGCAAGAGCACACGACTCTGAACAAACCCTTAAAAGTAGCTTACTAATAGCTCTTCAGTGCAGTATATTACCCATCTCTCTCTCTTGCTACAGCAATCCTTACTTATGTAATCATCCAGTAGTTCAAGCATACACTTTTCATTAAGCGATGGGTTTATTTAGACAACCTTACAGTAATGTAAACCTTGCACTTGCTCCCAAAGTGTGCACAGTAAGAGTATCTGAACTGGAAGTCTAAAGAAAGAAACTGTAAATGGCAGGGCGTCTATCCTGTTTTTCCATGACATGATTTGTTCGACATAGTGATGTCTAAGTCACATACCTGCTCTCTGGTTTGAGATTCTCCACGGCCGTGTGTGTCTGGTTGGTCGTCAGTATGGACACCTCCTCTCCATGTGGTCCTTTCGTGGTGGATACAACTTCATACTCTGACAAAGGAGGCAGAAAAATCCTGAGGGATCTTCTAATAACACGATTTTACATTTCAGCTTTGATAAGCGACAAATGATTTAACCTCATTGCTTTTTTACCAGTTGAAAATGACAATAAAAAAGTGATTTTTGAACAGGGTTTGATGAGAGAGGCAGGATGAGAGATTTGGGTTTGGGTCTGACATTAAAAGGTTTACCAATTATCGCTGTCTAGTAACAGTTTTTACTAACGGTTAGGAAATCATGTGTTAATGCTTTTTTAGATCAGTAAGTTGCTACTGTAACCTTAACAAGTTGTTAATAACCTGAATAAAATTTTCATCAAAATGGCACATTGGAGGGGTCTAATTAAGGGGACAAATAAAAAGACTAAGCAAATAGTTCTGGAGGAAGATCAACATAGATTGAAGGGGTTTTCAAAACTGGGAACCCAAACACTGTTTGTTTGTTTGTTTATGTTTTTTATATATATATATATATAAATAAATAAGCCATTGGTTACAAGCAATTGGTTAATTACAACTCTTTATCAAGTCTGGCTTATTGTGATCCATGGCCATCACTTAATTAATCTCTTGGAAAAATGTTTTATGAGTGACAGAGATTAATTGATTGTCCAAGAAAGTACTCATCAAAACAAAACTAACATAACAGGATCCAGGCACCCTGATGCAATTTGAACCCTGAAGACTCACCGACATAAGGAATTTGGGAAGCTGAGAGCAAACCCTAGTTCTGTCAGTCTTTAAAAATATTAGCATGTTTGCATGCACTATACCTCTGGTCTCATTGTCGGTTTTCTGCCAGTCAAGAATGACAAAAGACGGGCATCCCTCCACAGTAACCACAGTGACGTTAGAGGGTGGGATACGAGGAGGGCCGGTTATATTCAGATCACTGCCCTCCTCATCAGGGAAATAAGCGAGGGAGGAGGTGATAGAGCATGGCTCCTCTGGCCTCTTATCAGTCTTGTAGATCACATGGGGAGCTGTATACAGGAACAATAAAAACAGCAGTTATTAATTTATGCATGCTACCTTTTCCACCATTTTGTTTATTCATTGTTTAGTAGTGAGTAGCATTGCTACAGAGCTGACGTGAAGGCTTTAAACCTGCAGTGGAGATGTAAAGGGGCTCAGATGATTTCTTACCTACAAACCGCTTCTTGCCCATGAAGTCTACCTCTGATGCAGGCAGGGGCCTGAATATGGATGAGTTTTCATATATGTCAAAACGGCTGCCTGAAAAGGAAACAGGAGAGAGGAGTTAGAGTTCAGTTGATGTGCCAGCAGTCCCTGGCAGCTCTCGCTGTCCTCATTTTTACAGTTCTGGCCCTGGGGAACCACCAGCAGGCCCAGCACCTGCTGTGGCCTGCATTGAGGCTTTTTGTCTGCCTCTGAATATTAAAAAAATTCCTTTTCTTTCTCTTATTGTACCTGCAAGCTTAATCACCAATATATCCTGAGTATTACCAATGTGCATGTATTGACTCATACTCTCATTCATAGCTTTTTCAATCACATATTTTCTGAAGCTCACAGAGGTACTTGATTTTGTATCAAGGTATAAAAGCAGTTCCTTTGACAACACATTAAAAGTTGTGTTACTCGTACTGTTTAGTGCTGGGACAGAGGTGGTTGTTGGCGGTCTGCGCTCCTGCTTGGGCTTGGCTGTGACGAGAGGGAATGGCTTCAAGATGGCCTCCTTCTCTCCTTGTTTCAGGTCCATGGGTTTATCTGAGGACAGAGAGGAGTAGGAGGAGGAGAAGAGATCAGTTCTTCACCCTCCTCATCATCTGACTCACAGTCTCACACACAGTTGTGGTCCATCTGCTCTGGCCATCTTCACTGAGCAACTCAGTGGCCTTTTTTCCTGGCTGCTGAAAGATCAGAGATTGTTTGTTGAGTAATATCTCTTGTGTTCTTTAAAGGGGAAAAAGGTCTGCCAGAATACATCTGCTGAGACCAAAGATGCCCAGATGCTCAGAACCATGCACATATTCACACACATGAACACGCACACGGGCTGACTTGTGTGAAAACAGTGAAGTCCAGAAAAAGCCTTAGCAATAAGGCAGCTGAGATGAGCTGTTCTGTTATTTGCAGACAACAACTTAAGATAGTGGCTCTGAAACTGTGAAGGGTGTCGAGGCAGCTGAGACTTTTTGACCTTGTGGGAAAATGTGTAGTGGACTAAAGTTGAATAAATCATGTGGGACAAATAAACAAAAAAAGGGTGCTTTCACAGTGGCAAGGCATCTGGACAACAAAACAACATGTAAAGTACAAGATTGATGGATTTTTGACGCGATGCTCATCCAGAGCCATGTCAAAGATTTCATAAAAAAAAAAAAAAGAAAAGCTACAACCTGCTGCTGTACCCTGTTAGTTTAGATTGGCAGGAAGAACAGGGGAAAGCAGCTAGCCTGTCCAAACATCCATTTGCTTAATCTGTACAAGAACACAGAGCAAAAGCAGGTGCTATTAAGGACTATTCCTTGGCTGGGCGCAGTGACTTCATGGAGTCTAACTCCTGATGGTTAAGTGAATAAAGGTATTTCCCAAAATGTCAAGCTATTCCTTTACTGTGCATATTCTCCTGATGAATTTAAAAAACCAACTTGGGTTGTTTTGTTACTTACATCTCCAATATGGTAAATAGTTGAATTAAATCGGTTTAAAGAGGGGCAGGAATAAAATATTTTCTTAACTTATGGAGTGAGCGAAAGAGCCACTTTTTTAAGAAGCAGCTTAAGTCAAGTCTTCCCCTTGGCTTGATGTTGTATGTATAATTACAGTATACAGGACAAGGTGCAGCAGTATTCAGTGGTCAGTACATCCATCACTGTGCCCTCACCATGGTCACTGGGTTTCCCCACCAGGTTGGGTCTCTTGTTGACAGGAACAGGGGGATGCAGAACTGCAGGGAATCATGGGAAACAAGAGTCCATTTCAGATTAGAAATCCAACTGAAACAGAACAGCAGGTGGTTGGCACTGAAGAGGAGATACAGAACTGAAAACAAGTGCTGTTGGTTATTTTAATAGTGCAATAATGATGAAAGAACGTCAAGTTTATAGATTCATGAAGAGACATTTGTGTGTTGAATAAATGAGTGTACAAACACAGGCATAACAAAAGCAACAATGAAGCACATAAAGCCAGGCACATTGCATGTGAAATGCTGAAAAGTCACTTTGTGAAGTGCTGCCACAAAACACTGCCATGGTCTTTAACTAATGAAAACCAGTCTGTGCTTGATAACCTTGAAACAATAAACCACTGCTTTAACCACTTTTACTAAAATCCCCAGAAGAATAACTCAGGAATTTAAAAATCCTCATTGAATCTTAAAACAGGAAACCAAGGTATCAGGTCCAGTAAATTTTTTTCTATGATTTCAACTCCCTTGAATGAAAATTCTTTTGGATCTGATGCAGTCAGTTTGACCACCAAATTTTCCGGAAAATCCCTAGAGCGCAAAAAATACAATAAAATAACGATCAGGCCAAGCTATGAGATAAAGACCAGATCACTTTCACTCTAGACTGCTTTAATGAACAAAAGAAATGAATTGGCTTAAGTGAATGGGATAAGTTATCACAGGGTAGAGCAGGGCTTTTGGATGAAAACACCTTTGCGACAAACTGTCAAACTCTTATTTCTCAATGTGAGGGTTCTGCCATGATTTAATTCTGTTGAACAAGCATAATCTTTGTTGTGATATCTTAGAGGAGGTAGAGAAGCTCTGGAAGGCTTGACTCATTAAATATCTGTTACACGTTGTATTCACTTAGAGATATTCCATTTTAAGTGAAGGGTTCATTTCCAGAGCATCCACTCCCCTCAACATTTGTCATTTTCTTATCTCAAAGATTCATTATTGGTCATTCTGTTGACAAGATTCTGTAATTGTCTGATCGTTGATGCCAAAACACCCCAAAAACATTTCTTTTGGATTCGTTTCCTCCTCCCTGGAGCTGACCTTCCCCTTGTCGGCATAAGTAAGTGATCTTTGGCATCTCCTCCCTAGAGAAAAGAGCTGAGGCTATCAAGACAAACTGAAACATCTGCACTCATACACTTGAGTAGAGCCTCTGATTCACACATGGCATAACTGACAGCTAATGGCAAACATATGCTCATATATAAAGTCACACAATATATTGATGAAGTAATGTAAATGCCAGCCACAAAATACACAAATACATAAGACAGAGGTACGTGAAGTATGAAGAACTGACAGCTCAAAAGGGTGATGTCATGGTTAACTGGGCAGGAAATGAAAACACAGCATTGTGATGTAATGTGATAAGATGGGATGTCAACAATATGTATGTCTCCGATGTATATAAAACATTCTAGTCAGGGTACGACAGTTTCTTTTTTTTGCCATCTCGCAATAAACTACTCAAACAGCAGGCAGGGCCTCTGATGTGCTCTGTGATTTAAAACAGCAGCAAGTGGTGTGAGTGTGGTTTTTGTCAGAAAACTTCATCCCCAGGGCGAGAGCATGAAAATACATGCGATCAAGACGGATTATTATATATATTATACCAGTACCGCATTGCAAATGCAATATAGTGCCGCACTCAGATTTCTCAGATGGACACTGTCCTTTACACACGGCAGTCCACTACAAGCAGAGCCTTGAAACTATTTCAAGTTGAAATGCCAATGTGAAACAGAGCTCTATAAAACTGTCGAGGACACACTCTAATTCACGTTTGCCAGAAGCACATTCTGTGCCTGTGTATAATACAAAGTTGCAGAGTGCTGTTTGGAATAAGTAGTAATAATTTAGTTGCATGTCATTTACCTCATGGAGGCAGGAAAGTAAACTATATGAAGATTACATCTTTTTTAAAAAAAGTAAAAAAAAAAAAAAACTCACTAGGGAGTTTTGTGCTTGGATGTGTGTGCAGGGTGGCAGGCAAAAACTATTCTTTTCTGTAGAGTTGCTTCCAGAGAGCCTTGCGACTCCTTGAAGACCTCTGAAACTGTCCAAGTTTCCAGAAATAACACACACCAGCTGTGACATGGGACTGAAGCACAACCTGTCTTCACAACTCCCAACAACGAGGAGTGAGCAGAGCATCACAATTAATAAGATGTGGTGGTTTGCATTACTACTTGAGATGGAGTTGATTACTCTAATTAACTGAGCCTGTCTGGCTGAATGGAAACAATGTGATTGACCAAAAAAAGGGGCAAACCACATTCACTTTTCATGAGAAGCAGGCTAAAGCTATTCTCAGACTAATTCAAAGTATTTCCTGATTATAGGTCCATATGTGCGGTAGTAATGTGGAGAGGAAAGGTGTATACCAAAATTAGAATAATATAGAGCTTCAGTCTCAGTCAAGTATAAGCTACTGGGACTATACACATTGGACAACACAGACAACAGACACAAAACATCACACTGACAGACAAGTTGAAAAATCACAGAGCATGAGAGGATTGTAACAAAAGCACATATCAACGTGACTTGTATGGGACGGGACATAACAGTGCCTCTTAGGTTAGTGAATGGGGAACACGGAAAAGGTGATCATCTTGGTTTGTCTTTACCAGGATTTTCTTTGGACCACACCACAGGTTTAGGAAGAGCATTGCCCCTATGATGCGCCCCATCGGCTGCTGGAGGGAGAAAAAGGTCCGTTATAAAATGCTTTGTGTCAGAGGAAAGTCAGAAGGAAAAAATGCCTGTCTCACCATGTATTTTCTTACTTTTCTTACTGTTCAATGTTAGCGACAATAAAGCTTGAGACTTGTTTGTGTTTTCAACCTGTTTTTACAGATGTTCTAGATATACAAATGGAACTGACTATTTCTTGACATTTCTGACTTTCTGTTCTTCTGTAACTCTTTGGGGAGTTTGTGAGTGTGTTGAGAGAGGAAGAGAAACAGAGAAAAAGAGAGACTGGCTGCAGCGGCTGTACTGTGTGCACAGTGCTTGGCTTGGCATGGTTGGTGTAAAATGTGGTGTGTCCTGGCCAGTGCTGTGGCTAAACTTCCCGCCCGGCCAGCATGAGGGACTGTAAATCATGTTAACGATCCTGACCCCAGAGACGCCACTACTGCTTGTGGTAAAGGTGTGAAATACACACCAAGCACATGTGGCACAGCGTGGAGAACATATGGACTGTGAGAGGAGGTGAAGCAGAAGATAGAGCTAGTGAAAGAGAAAGGCACAAGCATTTAAATGTCTATTGTATGCATTCAAACACAGATCATGTGCTAAATCAAGAGGCATGAGTTTGTTTGTCTTCTCCTGTGGATGCACAGCTGCAGACAAGAGCGTGAGAGAGTGCTGACAGGAGAGGATGACCTGAGGTAGTTGCTTGGGAAGAGGGAATTAGAGGAAGGGAAGTGAGGACTCCATTACCCCCAGGTGTGCTGGAGCTGTGAGAAGAGGTGAATGTCTTGGATGGAGGGATTGGTCTGACACCAACACGAGTGGAATGAGTAGGAACCCGTGTGCGAAACAGCGTGGTGTTTCTTCCTGCTGCAGGAACTGATGAGTTAATGGGAGAACGAGGATCTTCAGCAATGGATGATCTGAGGATGCCAGTACCTACGTATGCAGAAAGGCAATTGGGGAGGTTAGGTTAAGGATGATCCTCTTCAGAGTTTGACAGCTTTACCTAAATGGAATAAATGATAAAGCACATCAGTGAAAAAGAATGTAGAGGAGTGGACAATGAATGAAATGACAGTGAGGAATAAATGAGATCAAAAGTTAGCCAGACTGGTCTGGTTGTGAGTGGGCAGGGGTGAGGTGACTGTGCTGGACTGAAAATGGAGGCACATATGGAGGCAGGGGTAATGGATTGGGTGGGGTGTGTAGGGTGGTAGAATGGAGATGGAGATGGGGAAGCAGTGGTATCATCCAGTGGCTTGAAGTACAACTGAAAGCACTGGGCTTCCATGTGGCTTGACAAAAAAGCAGAGATGGTAATGCGACAAACATGTCATGGTGTTTACCATGATTGTTACTACCGGCTTTCTCTGTAGCCAGGGCAGGTCTTGGGAGAGGCTTGCCCTCTTCTGGTGGACTAGGAGCTGTATGAAAGAGAACTCACTTTTTAATCTAAGATAAAATGTATATGAAAATATTTTTGACTTTTAAAGGGGGCATATCCTACCCTTTGTTAAAACACAAGGAGATGATTGTTGGTTTTAAATCAATGCAGCTAGAAAGGGTGTTTGTTGTGGTCATGATATCCATGAAGAGTAAATGCTTACATCTACTTAGACAATTCTGAACTCTGGAGGACCACCTTAGATGTCACAAGTGTATATGAGCTCAGTTTGTTTTACCAATTGAGAACATTTAATCATGTTTTGGAGTAGTTTCTAAATATAAAATCTATTGGATGGGGATATATTTTTACCAATTAATTGAGATTACCTGAAAAGCTTATTAACCGGATTCTGACAATAACTATCTGATTTTGTATTCTGCAAAAAGTTCAAATTCAACTGAAATTTCAATCAATATGCCCCTTTTAAAATGTAATTTGAGATAAGGTCTTAATGCTCAATTTGCTTATGGCAAAATGTAGGGTCTTTACCCGTAGAAACTGTCTGCCTTGGGGTGACCTTGGTGGGATCAGAGTAGGTCCTGGTCTGAGACTGAAATGGAAGCCCAGGTTGAGGTTGTGGTTGGGGCCTAGATGCAGGGTGTGGCTTGGGTAGATGTTCAGGCTGGGATTGAGTCTGGGTCTTTGGAGGAGGATGTGGTTGGGGACTGGGTTGAGAATGAGGTATGGGTTGGGTCTGGATCTTTGTTAGAGGCTGTGATTGGGGCTGTGTCTGTGTTTTTGGCTGGGTTTGTTGTTGGTCCCTGGTTTGGGCCTTTGGTTGAAGTTTTGGTTGCCTTTTTGGTTGAGGCTTTTGTTGCTTTTCTGATTGAGGTTGTGGTTGAGCTTTTGGTTGCTTTTTTGGCTGTGATGGTTGAGGCTTTGGCTGTATTTTTGGTTGAGGTGGTGACTGGAGCCTGGGTTTGCCCTTTGGCTGAGGCTGTGTTTTGGGCTTGGGTTGGTCCTTGGGTTGAGCCTGCGTCTCAGTCTTGGGTTGTAAAAAAAATATCTTTGGTTTGGATGTTGGCTCAGCCTGAGGCTGCTGCTTGATGTTTAGCTGATGCTGTGGGTTGGTCTTTTGTTGAGGCTGTGTTTGGGTTTGTGGCTGAGCTGTAGAATGAGATTGCGGTTCAGGTTGGGGCTGGATATGAATTTTTGGCAGTGCTTGCTGGGTATAAGGTATTGGCTGGGGTGTTATTTGAGGTGTGTGATGATGTACCATAGGTGTGGACTGAGGAGTTGGTTGAATTTGTGATCGAAGCTGGATCTGGGTCTTTAGTTGAGCTTGTGTTTGATGCTGGGCCAGGTGTTTGGGCTGGGGTGTTGGCTGAGGATCAGCCTGGAGCTGGGTTGTGGTTTGAGGCTGGGATTGGAGATGTGGCTTTGGCTGAGATTGTGACTGAGGCTGGGTGTGGAGTTTCGGCTGGGGTGGTGCTTGGGGTTGTGTTTGACTTAGGGTTTGGGGTATGGGCTGAGGTGTTGTTTGAGGTTGGGTTTGAGGTTGAATCTGGGCTATGAGCTGGGAATTTGGTTGGGGTTGTGGTTGGGTCTGGGGTACAGGCTTGGATGTTGGTTCTGGTTTGGTCTGGGGTACAGGCTGGGATGGTGGATGGGGTTGTGGTTGAGATTGAGCCTGGGGTATGAGCTGCGATCTTGGCCGAGCTGGCGGTTTAGTCTGGGGGATGAGCTGCAATTTTGGTCGTGCTGGAGGGTGAGTCTGCGGTATGAGCTGGGATGTTGGGTGGGGTTGTGGTTGGGTCTGGGGTACAGGCTTGGATGTTGGTTCTGGTTTGGTCTGGGGTACAGGCTGGGATGGTGGATGGGGTTGTGGTTGAGATTGAGCCTGGGGTATGAGCTGCGATCTTGGTCGTGCTGGCGGTTTAGTCTGGGGTATGAGCTGCAATTTTGGTCGTGCTGGAGGTTGAGTCTGCGGTATGAGCTGGGATGTTGGTTGGGGTTGTGGTTGGGTCTGAGGTACAGGCTCAGATGTTGGTTTGGGTTCTGGTTGGATCTTGGGTATGGGCTGAGATATTGGTTGTGGTTGAGTCTGGGGTATGAGCTGGGATGGTGGTTGTGGTTGTGGATGGGTCTGGGGTACGGGATCGGATGTAGGTACAGGTTGTGGTTCGGACTTGGGTATCGGCTGAGATTTTGGTTTGGGTCGTGGTTGGGTGTTAAGTATGGGCTGATATTTTGGTCCAGGTTGTGGTTGTGTCTGGGGTTTGGGCTGGGATGTTAATTGGGGTTGTGATTTTGGGAGTTTGGGAGATGGGGAATAGGGTTTTGGTTGAGGCTGAGCCTTCCCATGGGGCTTTAGTTGAGGTTGTTGGGGTTGGAGTTGCGGGTTTGGTAAAGGCTGTGAGAGGGGCTTTTGTCGTGGTGGACTCAGAGGGTGCCCTCCATGTTTATCTGCATTTGTCTGGAGGAAAGGCACAGACGCCATGGTGGGTGTAATGTGTGGTGGAGAGTGGAGCTTGGAAGCTAATGGGATTTCCAGAAAAGGAGGCAAGACAGATCTGAAGAGGTCTCCTCCTCCTCCTGGGTTGTCTAAGAGAGAGAAAATATGGCCATTAAGCCACAACACTGTGATGTAAAATATAATATTGTGAGGGAAAGGATCCTTTACAAAATAAAACAAAACAAAATATTATTTTATTATCTAGAAAATTATGAAAGCAAGACAAAGACAATTTGGGAACAGCTGAAATTTAGATCAGCAGAAGTGCCAACAGCTACTGGCCCAAGAACTCACAGAGCTGATCTTGGACTGAAGCACAGGTTAAACAATAACTCAGAACTGGCAAGAGTCTGATAGAGGGGGTCCAATTTCAAAGGCAGACAGACCATATGGAGGTATTTGCAATGTAACAGCCGTGTTACTACAGACAGACTCAGCTACCATGGCCAGGATGCCTGTGAGTGACAGCCATCCAAATCCATTGGCTGTGCCTCTAAGATACTATGACACATAAGGGTTTTATAGTTGGTGATTGATCGCTTGTTGTGATTTTGATGGACTATTCTAAATTGTTGATTGATTGTTCAATCTGATCAGGTATTAACCTCAGCGAGAGAGAATCACAGAGAAAAAGGAAGGAAGAAAATAAGAACATAAGAGTAGATAACAGGGTATTCCAGGCATTTGAAGCCTCTTCTCAAATTTAATCCAATGTAATGTCTAAAATACCTCTCTTTATTGCCCACAAGCATTTGTACAGGCAAGACAAGTTTGATAAGAACCAAGGTTACTTGAGAATATAATAACAGAAACATTTTGGAGAAGGGGACACAGAAAAAACAGGGTAATACAGGTTCAAGAAAAGAAGACGACATTCTGATATTCTACTGAAGTTCCTGCTGGAGAGAGAGGGATGTCTAGTGCATGCAGTTTTCTCATGCAGACTACACACCAATGCCTACGTTGCATTGAAAGCAAAAGCTTCAGGTTGTAGTCAGCAAAACACTCGGTGAATGATCTTACTGAAAATACTAAAAGAAATATGATGGATTTATAAGTGGCAAAGAAATGAGAAGCAGATACATGACAATTAAGAAAGACAGTGAGTATATTTGAGATATGACTGATCTCAAAATAGCACCCAACAAGGTTCTCAGTGCTGGCCAAAAGTCAACTCTTTCTCAAGGACTGGGAATGGTCCTCAACAGTGCTGTTGGCTAGTGGGCTTGTGCAAAAGATTTCCGATTCAAGTCATTTCCTGTGATTAAATTGTGTAGATTATAATGTGCAAATCAGTCATTGTAAAAATAACTGAAAAAACAGATCATTAAAACCATCATTAAGAATCCTTTCAAGCTTTCTTGTTTTACTAAAATGCCATGCAGCCAAGGCCACCTATCTTGCGCTGATTGCAACCTAAATGGCTGACAACATCAGCTGGTTTCCACTGGGAGGGCTGAGCTACTGTACTTACTCATAGCATGCCGCTCTTGCTCATGCAGCTAATTACGAAGAACACTGTAAAGCACTGACAGCCTCTCAATTACAGTCCACCAAGTCTATGATTGCAGCCACAATGAGAGCCGTGAAGCTTTTTCAAAGAGAACTATGATTCACTGTTTACCGATTGGCTGTTTGGTGACCACAGGCAGTGTGGGTCCAGGGGTCGACAGAGATTCCTGTTTAGTAGTTGTGGTTGGAGCTGAGAAATATATTGTATGTTAACAGACCTTGGAGAGAAGTTATCACTCCTATAGAATGTACAAAAAAATAGTTCATGTACAGTAAACAATGAGCTGAAATTTCCAGCAGGATAGTAATAGAAAAGTCAAGTGCAATGCACAGTCGTAGGGTCAAGAGTTTTTTTCTGACCGTTGAACTCTGTTTTAGGTCAGAAAAGTCATTACCAAGAGTTGTCTTTGGGGCTATGTTCCGGGAGACGGGCAGTCTGCCCTGGGTCTTGTTAGGGAAAACTGACAAAGACAAAGGAGAAGAGATTAAAGTCAAAGAGTCAACTTAAGATGCCTTCAAAGTCCAAAAAAAAGTAAAGGAATTATGTTAATGCATTTATATTTCTTGGTTCCAACAATATCCATGGCAGGCATGTTAAGAACAATATGGTTAAATAAACAATCATCTGCCACTAGGGGGCAGCAGAAACAAGCTGTGAACACAACTCTAATACTGTCCAGTATATCGTCACATTTTAAGGTGATATTGAACTTGTTAGCAAACAGTTGCATATTTCCACATCCAGCAATTACAGAGTAACATAAACATTTACTTGAAATTGTGTTTCTGTCTACCTGGTGAATGTACAGTGGAGTCCAAAAGTCTGAGACCACTTTCCCATGAATGAGAAAGTCATGCTTTAAATTCACTCTCATTTTAGCACTTTTTCAGGGCTTCGCTAACTCCTGGAGGAACATCCAGCTCTTCAACTGCTAAAAGCTTTTTCACCAACTGCTGGGCAGGTACTGTACTGTGGGTGTGTGGAGCTTTTTTTGCCGAAAACAGCTGCCTGCTGCAGCCAGAAATGATGCTGATGAGAGGGGGTGAGAGTGAATCAAACAGAAAAGATATAGGCCGTAAAACCAATTGCCTGTGGGTTCATCCCTATCAGTGACCATCAATGCATTACACTGTCAGATTTGTTTGATCCATTGTTGATTGTAGCTGCATTAAATCTCTGGTAAAGTAGGATGACTCACTAATGCAAAATAGCTGTTATATAGCTTGTTATAGACTTGGTTGTGTTTATTGTCTATATACTGTATGTCTGTATATTGGCCTTCATATAATAATACGATCTGAAACAAATCTTGATTTCTTTAGCATAATATTTTATGCAAAGCCTATCATCATGGACACACAGTTTAAAAACAGCTTTACTGTACTTGGCATCTGCAATAAACCCGCAAAATCAAAATTGTGAATTTAAAAAAGGGAGAAGTGAAAATAATGAGGTTCTGTCTGTAAAAAAAATAATCAAAGTTCTAGTTAAAATTCTTCCAGTGCTGAGTCTTAAAGCAGGGGTCAGTAAGAAGGGCTGAAACAGACATTTCTGAGCAGTGATAAATCATAAATGTTCTGCTGCTGTATTAAAAAGTATTCAGTGGGTTTGACCAAAGCAACGCAACCTAAGCAGTGTGTTCCTGTTGGCTTACCATGGCGAGAAGCAAAGGGGAAGGAGTCTGGACCTGGCGTTAAAGGTTTCTGGTGGGTGACAGACAAGAAGACAAGGGGAAGAACTGGTCATTAGTCATAGTAATGAATGCAACAAGTCCAAAATCCTCAATTTCATCTCTTTTTCTTAATTTTTCTCGTTGTTGCCTAACTCTTAGGCCCTCGACTCCATGTCGAATTGGTAAAGTCTCGGGTGAGAAGTTTGTTATTCAAAGTTTCCTTCTAGAAGGGCAAGTGTTGCGACTGATTCTCAACAGCTGTGATGTTTTATGGGTTTGGGGCCAGGAGCACGTGACACAGCAGCCATGCCCTGTCAGAAAATCAATGCCACCTTTCCCCTTTCAACTCATTTCCACGTTGTTATCCTTCCTCCCCTGTCCCTCCGTCTAATCTCCCTTTTTTCCTCTCTTTTATTCTACTCCAGAAGTTAGCTAGCTACAGACTGTTCTCTTGGCTTGGCCAGACCTGGCTGCACTGATGCTGTTTCCATTGAGCAGTTGGATGGAAAATTAATGAGGCAAACAAGCCTGAGAATAGCATAAGCTCACTAAAGTGCACAAAACAGACTCCAAAGTATACTGCATGTTCCAAATACACACCCTGTTCCCAAAAATATTTATTTTGAATAGAGGAAGTGTACCTGTGCAGTCTCACTTCCCTCAGTTTATTACACTTATTTCATTTAGCACATAACTATTACCACCTGTATCCACATATTAATACAATAAGATTCTAATGTAACATGTCATAAGATTAGTTGTAATGCCCTGGTAAGAAATTTTAAAAAGTGTGTCCAATACATACCACAGGAGTGAGAGGCCGTTTAAAGATTTTCCTGATGGCCTTCTCTAGAAACACAAGAGAAAATTCAGTGAAGAAGTCAGTAAAGTGGAACTAAAGTCAAATAAAACCACATTTCAAACATACTTTGCTCAAGATGTATATTAATATTAGATGACTGAATCAGAGAGGTCCTCAGCAGTGGCTTAATGAAACAAGATAGTTTTGATTCAGTAACACTGTCTGATATCTCAGTGTCTCATATACACTGATGCGTATATACATGATGTCACGATGGTCACTAGCACTGACTAAGCATTGGTGAACACTTAGTCAGCATTGGCCATTATGTATTCACTTGACCGACTGAACAAACAGATTTTTACACAGGAAAAGTCATGCAGAAATGTTTAGACTATTACAACTAGACAGAACAGAAACAACATGAAGTGATGCTCTACACCAGTTACTAACAAAGCACAGGGTTTTCCTAATGAAACATTTAATAAAATCAAAATATTTTGTGGCCACAGGCAACCAGAAATCCTCCTGACCAAATGATAAATCTGGCTAAAATAGAAGGGGCCCCTCATGCTTTGACCCAAAAATAACAGCAAGACTTCCAGCATTTTCTCACACTAATTATCAAGCTGTGCTTCCATTTATGATGATTAAATACCACATTAAAGCACTGACAACTACCCAACTATCAAAAATGTTCTGCTTTTATTCTGAAGAACAGAAGAACATATAGGAAATATTTTTGTTGTTGATGAAACCCACCTTTACTCTTTTTTCTCAAAAACTATATATACACTCTACCATATATGCATATACATCGATGATCCATACCATTATGACCACTGCTGCTTCTTAAGTCCATGCCTCAGCTCCAAACCGCTGAGGCATGGACTCTACAAGACCTCTGAAGGTGCCCTGTTTTATCTGGCACCAAGTTGTAAATTGAGAGGCGGAGCTGCCACAGATCAGACTTGCTCCAGCACATCCCTGTCACACCTTGGGCCACTGTTGATAGGTACTCACCACTGCTGACCAGGAGCACCACACGGGCCTTGATGTTTCACAGTCATCTGGCCATAACAATTTGGCCCTTGTCAAAGTCACTCAGGTCTTGCTCATTTCTCACTTACTGTCTAATATATCCCAGACTGTGACATGTACCATTGTTTGCTTCATCTATGTTTGGTTAGCCCAAAATTTCTGGACAAATGTTAACACCTTGAGACAAAACATCACTGATCCTAATGGCTTTTACTTTTACAGGATACTAGGTTGTTTTCCCTGTGATATTACTCCCCTCTCCATTCATAGCAAATGGTAGCTTGGCCACTCAAACTGGGGTGAGGGGATTGTGTATAGAAAACTGACATCAAACATACCCTCTATGCCCCCCCTGCTAATGTTGTGAATGACCGGCTTGCTCCACGTTCCAGTAGTATCCTTAGAGCTGGGCTGGACACCAAACTCATAGACTGTGTTGGGCTTCAGATTGTCAATAACCGTGTCACTAGTTGGGCAGGTCTGGTAGTTCCATTTCCTGTTCCTCTCACGATAACGCACTGTATAGTGTCTGAGACAAAGACAAAGGACAAGAGATGCTGAGAAGATGCTGTGTAGTGTAATACTGTATATTACTGCCAGAGTATGAACCGTACAGTTACTGTATAATGTCCTGATGCTGGGAAAGAAATCTTCTACCCCACCCACAAAATGACTAGTCTATGCCTCTATGTCTTCATTCAGATTTATTCCACAAGGAAGAGCAAGATGAGACCAAGCTTTTCATATAAATACAGTAAATTATTTTAGAGCAGGAAAACTGGGTCACATTCAGTAAACTGTGTTATGTGGATGAACTTCACCTTTTCACCATCTGTTTCTGTGCTTACCAAATGTACAATACAGCCAGGGTACATGAAGTGAAAAGGCTGAAAAATTTCCATGCACACGTGCATCCGTACTCTGTGGCATGACGTGTGTGGGTGTGTTAGTGTGAAAGCTCACCCATCCTCCAGACAGTCATTCATGATGTTGCCTTCATAAGGGGTTTTCAGCAGTGTCCCCCAGGATAAGAGGACTGAAGTGGGTGTCACCGACCCAATGACTAAGTGTAGCGGCTTCTCCAGGTTCACTTTACCTGAGAATGAATGGACACATCTTATACATGTATACATGTCCATCTTAATGCAAGTCACTTCGATGGTGATTTTGTTCCTGTAAAATTCTTGTACAAGCCTTACCTGTGCACTGCTTTTTCACCTCATTGGTTGGGATGGGCTGAACAGCAATGAGGTACTTGGGCTCAGCATCTAAAAATAGAAGAACAAACTAGAAGATAGTTACTCTGTAGATCCTCTGAGCGTGCGCACTTGTCTCCCTTTCAGCTGTGACTGAAAAGGTCAAGATACAGTTAACATAAAACAAGGCAAAACACACAAATCAACAGCGTTTCTTACCAAACTCAGTCTCATATGGTTGCCCATTCTCAGGAAGTTGAATGAACTGTTTGGAGAACATGCTGCTGCCGTAGCCCAGGATGTAGCCCTCAAGCTTGGTGTCAGCGTTGGGACGCAAGAACTTCATCACGATGGTATCTCCTGTGGCACTGATGCGAACTTTCATGTTCTGACGTCGCACTGGTGAGGCAAGAGAACACACCGTTGTCCCATTTAATTTCCAAATATTTTCTGGACATTAGACAATAGAAAAGGAGGCTGTGCCCACTGAAGTCCAATGGAACTATTTAACGATAAAATGCTTTCAGTCACTGAAGGCCGAATAATTGCCCGGAGGAGTCTCAGAGCTTCTAATGACATCAAATACAGCACACCTGTGTTTTTTCATGCAAGTATCCATAGGAAATGCAGTTTAATATCATAGTTCCTAAGTTCCATATAATAGGAAATGCCACAAATACAACATGACAAAAAATTTGGATAAATTAACTCAGAGATTAGCAAATCAAAATCCACAACCCTAAAACAAATTTCTTTCTCTTGAATGGAAAGCTTGCAAGAAAGAGTTAAGAGTTTCATGCATGTTTTCTAACAACCTGCACCTTTCCAGATTCAACACTTCTCACAGTCTGTTCTCCATCATTTCACAGGTACACTCTAGGAGTGCATTCAGTCAAATTGGATTTGCTGCTGGTTTAAGTTTTGCTGAGGTGTAAGTTTTACTGAGAGCTAATAATGGTGATTTTATTAAGAAAGCACAATGCTAGGAGAAGAACGTAAAAACACTTTTTATTGAGAGCTTTCTAACCAAGTGAGAACATTACTTTTATATAGAGAACAAACATTAAGGTTCTGCCGCCTACAAGCATCACTGTGTATGCTGCAGCTTCTATATGATCTGTAAGTGGGTGCATGCATCTGCTCTCAGAAGTGGCTTTTGAAATGGATATCCTGTTCCTGTAAATCTGAATCTGTGAGCATGTGCTATTAAAACTTGAGGTCAGTAAGGCAACATTAAGCTTGTGTTGAGTTCACAAGACCGTGGTTTGAGAATACATGCACAGACAATATTCTTTCTCTTTGTCTCGCACACTCAGACACGCACACACTGATGTCACTTTACAGGAAACTGCACATTTTCTGCCAGAAATGACTTCTACAGAATACAGAGTCCTAATCAGCAGAGCCTCCATGGGGACAGGCATCACAGGGTGGACTGTAAAGCTGAGGATTTAAAAAGGCTCATTCATCGACAAACAACAGAAAGATGACATATTTTTGAGACTGTTTATATTTCTATTAGTGGTGTTAATGGTCTTTTATGAGTTTAGTATCGCCCTGTGTTCCAATTTCTCAAGGGGGGGTTAAGATTTTTGTAAAGTTCAGACTTTAACATTTTTCTTATTACTCAGTTTCGGCAGCATCTCTGCCAAAGGCAGGCTGAGGGATGATAGTCTTCATTCATCACAGTTCTGTATGCCATTTAAGTGATGAACTGCAGTCATTGCCAACCAAACAAACTCAAACATTCTTCCCTGTAATTACAGCTAAACTGAATTGATCTTTTTCATAAATGCACGAAGTCAGTCCGCATGATAGTGAAGCACGCCATAGCTAGTCAACAGACAAGCAACTCTTAAATCTCTGCAAACACAATGCATGCAAGAATTTGTTTATTTTTTTCTCTCATTACTTGCCTCTGCCATGTGTCCTTTGAAACTAGCCAAGAATTGGGTATGCTAACAATTAGCCAGTTTGTAACAGGCATGCATGCATCAGAAAACACAAATGAATGCAGCTGGGCCAGAAGTACGACTGACAGTTGGCTTGTGCACATGCAAAACAATAAATAGCACCAGTGAATACTTGATGATACTGGATGATAAATGGTGACCATTAGTGATAGAAAGATAGACAGGTTTGTTAAATGAAACTCGTTTATTATATTGTGTTTCTGCTTTTTAGAATCAGGAGGAATCAAATAAATTAAATCATATTTCCATCTTCCCTGTTTCTATCATTTTTATACCACAGTGGAAATTACAAATGAGTCTATGGGGGCTTAAACCTCCACCTCCTATAGTCTACAAGGCTTAAAACAAAGGACTTTCTGCCTGGATTATGACTTGTACTATATTTCTCCACAGCACATGTCCTTGGCTCAGATTAACGCTTCATAGCATTAAATGAAATAGTGGAACTTTTCATAAGGAATGATTCCAGCAGCTGCCAGATGCCAGAACAGACACTGACAGTGGAAGAGGGGGAAGCCCTGGATTTGAAAAATACCCTCATGCTTTTCCAGCTATGTGTTCCCTATCAAAACTGCATTTGTTTTGATTCTCTCATCAATATTTCCGATAAAACATGAGTGAGACTGGTTTCAGAGGGAGAGGGGAGAGTGTATGTAACATTAGGAAACTTTTGGCAGCATGTTTTAAACTCCAGTACAAGCAAACACTGGCTCGGTCCCACGACAGCCCATCCAAGGCCCGGCCATTTGGCCCACACACCATTTAGGGACTGTTAAGACTTATCAGTATTTCCAGAGTAGAATGAATAAAGCTTTAGGAACAGATCCAGTCACAGACCTGGTGATCAATCAACTACGGTACAGAGGAAAATGACTGACATTTTTCTAATCAGAAAAAAACTACTAGGCCACAAAGTCATGTTGTAAGTTTTTGTGTGGATGAAATGTGAAGAAAATAATGAAAAAACAATTTGAATTTTAATTCTTCATGAGGGCAGCTCTGCTGGCGACTCTGACCCTGTCAAACACATGAGATCACTGAAGAGTTACAACCTCAATAAAAGACATGCAACTAAAGCATAATTAAATCCACAGTCCTTCCCTTTATAGCTACGGATGGACGACTGAAAAGGTCTGCTAGGCAGAACAGAGCTTCTGTTTGAAGTTGTTAACATTTCTTGTTGGAAAGTTGATGCAACGACTATGAGAAGACACTAAACGAATACAAAGAGACGTGTAAAAGGAAAGCAGGAGACAGCAAAATGTGCACAAAGAGAAGAAAAACATCTACTAAGAGATGTAAAACTACACGAAAAGCTATACCAATGAGACGCAAAATGACAACAAAGACCCAAAAAAGATGCAAAACGGGGACTAAGAGACACAAAATGCCCACAAACAAACTTAAAACGACCACACTGAGACCTAAATGAAAAAACTACATAGAGAGACAAAATGGTTTGCAGTCCTTTTGTGTCTGTATCAATCTGGCGTCTTTTTTTTTTTTTTTTTTTTTTTTTACATGTCTGTGCCCAGGGGCCCATCATCTCATAATCCATCAATGTTAACAACAAATCTACCACAGGGAAATATTTACAGCAGCAGAAAAAAATGCTACTATGCCATAATATAGGGAAAGAATAAATCTGTGTTTTAATAAAGTTCAACTTTATGTTATGAGGAGTTGGTGACAGATTTTAGAGACAGCTTCACAAAACAGTGCCATTCACAATGGGGATGACAATCTATTTTATTAAATACTGTAATCTCACAGTGAAGACTAATCCCTTCAATTAAAACATCATGACACAGTCTATTCCCCTCGAGCAGAGAGCATGACTAATTCATAAATTACTATACAAGCCAATCCATCATAATTCTGGCAGTCAGCCAATAAACATATCAGATTATGCAATAAACAAATGCCACATCATTCAATAAACATTTCACTATTGTATTCATCCTGTTTTGGACAAATAGCCAGACGATGTAATACTGCTGGCCTGAAAAAGAGAAACACCCTGAAACTGGAAACTCAATCTTGGCTCAGCGGAGTGGTCTATCTTGGCTCATCAGCAGTGGATGATCCTCTGGGAAAGGGACTAGGTTAATGGGGTTGTCAGGATAACACACTCTCCTCATATTTTCATATTTTCTTCATATATTTTTACGTACATTCAGTGTTTGAAAATAAATATTCCAATGTGCATCTGTACAGTATGTGCACTTTGGGCATCAACACATCCTGATTCACAGTCTGACATTATCAAACCATAGATTTCCACCATTGGCAGCTCTCTCGTGCTCCACTGTCTCTCTCTCCTCTCTGGGATCAGATGTGGAGAAGGACTGCAGTAGAGTAAACACTTTGAGAATAAATTCACTGAGATCATCTCAAGACTTTTCCGACGAGGCTGATGTGTAAACTAATGAACTATAAATATCTGTAGCAAAACCTCAAAAAAAAAAAAAAAAAAACTTGGCGTAGGACTACAAGGCTTGTTTTGTTTTCACAATATGCAATGGAAAAGAACTTTTCTGCTCTTTGTTGAAATCAAATCTGGTAGTTTTGGTGGGTGGAAGTGACACAGTAATGAAGTCATGTCAGTTAGTCTTGAGCAGCTGAACATTGCAGCTGAGCTGTACAGACTGTAAATCCCTCTGAGCAATGAGGCTCTCTATATTGGGGAAATATTATTGCTCAACAACCCCCATGTATTACACACTTACATATCCATAGAATCAATTTAATTCACTGTAGATGACACCCTTCCCACCACACTTACATACACACACACACACACACAATATCATGCCTTTGCATGCACGATGCCCTGAGTCAGAGTGATTTTACGCAGCTCTGGTGTACAGTATTTCAGCCTCTCAGGTTTCTGTCTTGGAAGAGGAGAGATGGAGTGGATAACTTGGCTTCCTGCACAGCAAAGACAGAGACAGATGTTTTATGGCCTTTGGTAAAACAGGCACCTTCATTTAAGGCAATGAAGTGTGAAAATCTCTCTGAGCCTTGTGCCAGCCTGATCAGCAAGGGTTTGAAATAAGTTGGTGAGCAAACGAGCTGAACTGACATATATTGACTCTAATGGGAATAACCTGAGCCTGCAGACTGGGGTAACTCAGCCCTCTGAATATCTACTGTAATTCACCTGGAGCCTCTTTGATCCCATCCTTCTCTGGAACAATCACATCTCTTGGGCTCACAAGAGGCCTCACCTTGTGCCCCAAGCGGGAAAGAGCCGTGCCTGGGATTGTACTCCCACATTTTCCCCCCTGCCTTGGCTGCTTCCATGCAGGTCTCTCTGGTCTCACTCTATATATCCCCCCTGACAGATTCAACGGAGCAACAGCTGTTTTCCTTTCCCCTGTGGCATTACTCCATCCCATCCTTCCCCTCCTTCACTCAATCTCTGCCGTCCTTTATGTGTCAGCAGCCATCTTTCCATCAACCTGATCCTATTTCAACTTCCTAAAGTGCTTTGAATTCATCTGTCTTGTCCTCTAATCTCCATTGCTTTCCACTTTCCTTTCATATTTCCCTCTCATTAATGTGTACAGGACATGAGGCCATGTTCTTTCTTGCTCAGCTGTAGTTTCTACATCATATATTATCCTGAAGTGAGTTAGTGCCAAATAATGTCTTGCATTACAAGAGATTCAACTCGTTCAGATGAAGTGCAGATCATCAAACAGTGCAACTCTGACACTAGCATATTATGCATAATATCTATGACACAATAAAGCAAACACACTTTTTGCATAACATGTTTCCTTCTAAAACCATGTGCCTGATCCAAGAGGAACAGAGATATGGACATTTAACTCTCCTCCCAGAGCAAAAACACAGACAGCCCCTTTCATCTGTGTCCCAAAGCTGCACACTGAGAATTGTCTGCAAGCCAAGTTCAGCCAGCAAGTTATACACACAACCCTTTCCAATGTGCCCTACCCTTTTTTATACTGACTCCAGTCTGCTCACCTCAAATCACTTTTACTACCATCACAGTCTTCAAAGGACGTCTAAGTTTAACTTGCAAAAATAAAGCATGGCTGTGAAGCATAGACACAGAGATGGAAAGCAGAATTCAGTGTCTATGCATGAGAGTGAGTGAGTGAGTGTGTGTGTGTGTGTGTGTGTGTGTGTGTGTGTGTGTGTGTGTGTGTGTGTGTGTGTGTGTGTGTACTGACACGGCAGTGGGATAATGAGACAATATGGAAAACGTATGTGGAAAATGTGCTGTTTTCCATGAATGTCATGAGATTCCTAATCAGACGGAGTAGATTGAATAAACTGTAATCTAGTAAAATCAGTCTTGGTTATGTTTTTTTTTTTTTTTTTAAGAAAACACTGCAAGGGGGGGTGAGGCGCTCTGACATGAGTTGTCTTCAAACTATTGATAAAAACCTCATTGATTTTGTCTGTAATTATATATAATGCATGGTGATGAAAGGTGATGTGATGACTCCCCATGTTGCTGTTGATACTTTGGAAACATTTTGGACATATGTAGTTTGCACTTGCCAAAGAATTACGTGTGTACTGCACTGCCTGTGTTGAATTTTAAAGACTATAAAGACTGTTTGAAACAAATAAAACAATAAAAATATCTTGACTAAAGCAATAAATGAAAATAATTAGCCAACTTAAAGAAACTCATCTGATTGTCTGCTTGATGGACACGGTTCCTGGAAAGCCATCCCATTGGGTTGTCTACAAGCCTAACCCCCTGACCCCAAACCTGGAGACACTTTTTTTTTTTTTTTTTTTTTACAAAAACAGTATCTGACCTATTTCACTGCATCTGCCTGATCTCCTCATTACAGGGAAATTTGGATAAACCACAGGGATTGTAAAAACTGTTTTTACAGTTTCTAATCAAGGCAGTGTGAAAGCCTGACAGGTGGCTCAAGAGAGGAAAGCTCCTTTTAGAGTTGGGGTTCAATAGCATTTTACTGAAGCAGAAGACAGTATCAAAACAGCTCTTGGAATTAGCTCTGCTCCTATAGAGCATGTGATAATCAGATGTGGTAATCAGGGGTTAGCAGATATCAAAAGGATATAAAAAGGAGGCGAAAAGGTACCTGCGTAACAGCACTCAGCTTGAAACCTGTTCCCTTTACTTATCTGCATATTTCATCACTTTTGTTCATCTTGTGCATTTGGGGATTTCTGCAAATTAGAAACTGCTGATAACATTTTCATTTTTGCAAGCAAGGCATTTCCAACGTTCTTTATGATGTTAGAACGAAGATTTATTAAATTGCATCCATTATTTAATGTACTTTGCAGTAAATGGTTGTCTCCCTAGCCTTTACTCTTGTCATTTATCCATCTTACTATGACATTATCTATTCAAGCCTATCTGAGCATGCATTTGGCAGAGGGCAGAGACAAACCATGGAAAAGCAATCAGTGCATCACAGGGCTAACAAAGAATGACAATCACTTTCACTTGCATCAATCTTGGACTGTAAGAGGACATCCACAAGCAGAGAAGACCATTATGACCAAGCATTGGTCCACACAACAAATGCATAACATGTGATCAATAATGTTTTCTGTTGTGGATATTTAAGTACAAGACAATAACATGAATGCAGGTATCACCTACCTCTAATCCTGTGGGGAGTTGAGGGACCAGACAGAACTATCCCAGTGAGGAAGACCATGAGGAGAAGGACCAGAAAGGTGTGTGAGTGGTGCATCCTCATCATCATCATCATCTCTGCTGTGGCCGACTCTGAGTCTCAGGTGCAACAAGCTGCTGTGATCTGATCTCACAACAACACAGACACAGAAACACGAAGTGGTCACTCGCTGATAGAATAAATCTTTAGTAACAGGTTGAGGGTACTGTGTGCTGCAGCTGCAGGAGTCAGACTGGATGTTTGTGGAGTGGCTGGACTACTTCTCTGAGTTGGTGGCTCTCAGGACTAGTGCAGCTCACTGGACTGGACTTGTGGATGCAGCAAGCTGCTCCTGCACCATCTATACCTCTATAACAGAGGGAGGGGATAGTCAAGACTCAGACACACCCACTCTCCTTTCCCTCCCCCATCTCTCTTTTTCTTTCACTCTCCATCTCACACACTCTTTCTCTGGAAAAGGAGTGAAAACTTTCTCCAAGCTCCCGCCCTCCTCAACCTTCTTTTTTGTTCTCTGTTTTTTTTCTCTGGTTAGTCTAGTGTGTTCCCACAAATCCTGCTTTCCATCTGCAGAGACCTTTTGACACTTTTGTTTGTTTCTTTCCTCTCTCAAAATGCATGTTTACATGCACTTTAATATCCTGGTTTCGATCGTAATCAGGATATGATGTTTACACGGACCTTGAGAAATCTGGTTCTTTATACCCATGTAAACACGGCTCTAAAAATATCCAGGTTTCTCATCATACGCATCAACCAGACAAAACATCAATTTTGGAAGAGTCTGCAAAACCATGCTAATTGCAAATGCATTTTTCCGACCAGTGCCAATGTCTTTACAGTTCTTATTTTCTACATTATCTCTACATGACAACTTTGTTTATGGTTGAAATTAGGGAAATATTTTGGTTATAGCAAATACAATATGGTTAAGATATGGTTAGGGGTTAGGAAACTAAAGCACTTGCTTAACATGTTACAAGCAAACACATTTTTGTCTACAAACCCTAAAATAATGTACCCAAAATAAAAAGGTTACCAAACTTCAAACCTTTTGATTACAGTCATAATCTCCTTTGAAAGCCCTAAATTCTACAACCAAATAGTCAGAATGAGTATAAGAGATACTGAACAAAAATTATGAAACTGTCCTCCTGTAAGAAAGGAGCCCTGGTTGGGGTGCATGGGTGGGTCGACAAAACACAGAAATTTCACACAGGAGACTGGGGTTCAATAACAGTGTGAAACTAGAAGTTTGTTTATTTTATCCCTGACCGCTCAACAAACTTAACCACATTGTTGTTATTGTAACCATGACAACGTGAAATTGTGTAATCTTAAGGAAGTACTGAAACCATGATCTTTTCCTAAACCTAACCAAGCCATGACCTTTTATTATTGAAACCATGGCGACAGACGTTCTGGTAAGTCTGCCTCGTAGGGGCACTATTTCAGGAGTCACTTGCATGGATCATATCAGAGGATTGGAACTAAAGACCTATACAGTTGCTCAGGTTGGAGGAGTTGTTAAAAGTTACAAAGGCACAAACATGGCAGAAATCAGAGCCACAATTTTGAATCAATTTTGTGTCAACAGCTGTTGCAGTGACGTGGAGCCTAAGATGCTTTGCACAGGTGGAATCAGGAGACTTGGAGCCTTCAAAAAATGATGACTGATAATAAAGATCGAGTCCAGTACAGACCAAAACACACACACACACACACACACACACCCCTAAAGTAGCAATAACAAGGCCAAGTGCCCCACAGCTAGGACAGGGTATTTAAAAAGGTTAAGGTCATCATGGTAAGGGCAAATGAAAATGTGAGAAATAATAAATAAATTCTGGTCTTCTGCATGAATGTCAGTCGCTCTTACTTTCCACTTTGCTACATACACTGCCACTTCGTCCTGTGCTGGCACTAAATGTTGACATCAGACACAGATCATGAGGAGCGAAACTGCTCAATAAGGACCTAAGTCCTTGGATCCTGGGCTGCTGCATGCAGATGTGTCTTTGACTCCTTCACATCTCAACCACTTTATTTTTTCTGAACTGCCTGACTTACCTCAACACAGCTGGTTTCTGGTGGCCTGGTCACTGTATTATTATGGTATGTTATGTAATTTTAATGCAAGCCTAAGGTGTGCATTGTAAGCTGTATAATGAAGTAAAGAAGAACTAAAATAAATATTGGATCATAAATGGAGGTCAAGGCAACCATAAGTAAACGTTGAATACTGATAACGCATGCAGGCCAGCACAGAAATGACAAAGCCTGTTAAATGAGGAGGAGTCAAAGATACTCACAGATACACAGATGATCAGAAACCTGATAATGCTATAAACAACCAGACATATCAATAACCAGGGTTCTTATATTCTTCATTATATCTTGAACCTGACCTCAACTTCAATCCTAACCCAAAAACCCTAAAACCCTACTCTAATTCCTGAAAGGAACCGTTACATTCAGGAGTACCACACAACACAAAAAAGAGACAGGCCTCCATAGCATGAGTGGTCTCCCAGATTTGAGTCACCAGTTTGATATAAACACAGACACACACTTAGTCAAGATAAGTTGAAGGATAATTGGACTAGTCATATAAGCCGTGTGTATTTAAAAAAACAAGCATTACATTCAATGGAAACAATGTCTCTCATCTTCCTATCCATAAATATATTTTCTGCCAATGGCATAAAACACTAACATCACGAGCACCACAGACCAGCTGATTAAAATGTGCCACTTGAAGCCATGTGTCACACACGCAGACAAGACTTTCTGGTGCATCACAAACACATGATGACAGTGTTGCAACAAGCGCTTTCTTTGAAGTCAAATTCGCACGTATATCATTGTTTACAGCAAGTGAGTTCAGTTTTTGCATCTGTTTGTGCGCAAATGTTTGTGTGGTTCTTGGAGCCAGTTTTCATCCTGGTCAGCCAAAACACTCTGCCAGAATTGGGCCTCAAGGACAAGAAGTTAGTGTGTTTGTGCAAGGCTCACACGTCTGCTCGCACGTGCATGCTAGTGTGTGTATTCCAACATCTCCGCCCTCCACTGCGGTTGATCATATCCCACATGTCATCCAACGAGACAGGAAATGATGTCGTACACCAGAGGAGGTGTGTCTCCAGAGGAAGTCCCCAAACAGATTTTTACAGTGGAACCCCGGGCTTCATCACGCCAGAACCCATTAAACGCCAATGAATCATACACTGCACATACTGAATATGATAAAAGAGCTTGGGGTGTAACCAGTTTGACTTATGCTGTTTTGCTGATAGGATTTATTTATCTATGAAATCACAATAACACTGGGATGAGGGGAAACATGGCAGATAAAGACGACCAGATTAATGACCCACTATCTTGTTTTTTCAATTGGTGGAAGAAGTAGTCACACCCTCTATCTAGTACAAGTACCAATACATTTAAGAAAATATTCCATTACAATTCCTGCATTCAAAGTCCTACTAAAGTAAAAGTACAGAAGTTTTAATCAGCAAAACGCACTTGAAACCGCAGTAACTGTTATTCAAAATGTGCAGTTTTATTTTGAAAGGCACTTATTAGGCACTGAATATTGGATTTCACACATTGGGCTATAGATGTGCATTTTTAGGGGGGAGGGTCGTCGATCAGAAGACAACCTCAAAACTCTACTTAAGTGTAGCACTTGACTAAATGCACTTAGTTACTTTCCAGCACTGTTATTTCATCAGCCACAAAAATTACTCATTTTTCTTTCACTTTTAATCTTCTCTCCCTGCCTTCCACCCTATCCTACTCTTCCTAGTCCCCCTCACCTCTTTTTCCTCCCACTCCTTGCAGTTGTTTCTTTCTCCTTGTCCACCACCACCCTCACCTTGTCATCCCTGCTGTCACTGCCACCTCCCCCTCTTTACTCTTTCATCCCACTTTCTCTTCTTGTGGAATGTAGTCTGGTTTGTATCAATAGTACAATCCACTTGTAGACATAATTGGCCTCTAACTCTCTAACTGACCTAGTTTGTGTTACCAGGTGTGACACCCTGAAGGCCTTTGAACGGTGTCTCTCTCGCTCTCTCTCTCTCTCTTTCTGCCAGTCTGTCTATGAGGTTAAATTTAATGGTGTCTTGTTGTGTCAGGAAGTAACATTTATAGCTAGCAGCTGATTTCCCCTCAAATGAACAGGATTTTATTGCTGTTTGTCAATTTTGGAATCCAAAACCAATTATAAAACAAATTTAGAAAGAACTTTCTCTGATGCTTATGTATTTCCATCTCTCAGCTTTCTGCCTCTTGGCCCTCTTCTACAGCCACATGATCCATCACTCAGTCTGAATATTGTGATAGTCTGTTTTAGTTTATTTAAGAAAAGATTGAATCTCTGAACACTGTCAGACAGATGCCTGACAAAGGGCCATGACCGAAACGTTGTGTCCCTCATAAAATCAGTGGTGACAGAGAACAGGAAACCAACCTTTTCTTTCACATGGTTTAATTTTCCTATGCACCTGCCCAGCAGGTCATATAGCTGAGATAGAAAGTTGCAGATTTACTTCATGACGAAACACAAAAAAGGCAGTTAAAACCTCAAAATGTAGGTGTTACGGCCTTTGTGTCGTGTGTGTATATGTACGCATTTTCCTCTCCTGTCTCTCCAGGTTCCCCCCTCCCTACTCTGCTGCATTAGACTACGTCCACACTACTACATTTTCATTTTAAAACAGGGTTTCAAACAAAAACAATCTCTGTCCAGACAAGCGTTTTAGCTCCGTATCAGAAATGATCTCCGTCTATACTATCCCACCTGAAAATGTATATATACTTGAGCAATCACGTACACTGGTCATGCGTGAGCCAATGTGAACAGGAAGCAGATTGTCAACTCTGTAGTTAGTTAGTTGCAAAAAATACTATGAATGAAGAACAGCAGACACAGCTGCAGTGTTAAAATGCAGAGTTTAACTGAACAACAGCTGCTAGCAAAGATAACAAGGTCAGTAACACTTGTATTTCGTTATCTGTGTTGTATTCATTTCTCCTGGACTCATTTTATATTACTCCCCTTACCGCCTGGTTGAACAGTATATGGGATTTTGGAAAATTTCCAACATTGGTACTTCCCAGTGATTGTGTCACAGAAGACATGGTCACTGGTAGGAAAGAATGCTAATACCCACTCCACAGATTGTACAGGGGACTTAAAAGGTAGATAGGCAATAAACAACGTATTCATCAGTTTTAGTCAATGCATGAT